GTTTTAAAATGGCCTCTTTAAATATAACTAGTCTTGTAGCTCATATAGATGAACTGAGATCATGGGTCATTCAGCAAAATTTTGATCTTCTTTGCATAAATGAGTTAAATAATAAATACGTTTTTCTGGTCACCTCCATTAGCTATGACGTGTACGTATAACGCAGGCTTTAATTGACCAAAAATTGAAGAATTTGAAGGGGAAAAACCGAGGATCGAGTAACATTTTAGTGCTACACAGGATTCTTTAATTTTCCGTTTCAAGTAAGTTTGACTATTCTAAAGAAAAATCCGATTCTCTTGATTTTTTCCCCCGCGGAATGACTATGTGGCTTGAATAAATTTATAAAACATCACTTAATTTGGATTTAAGTTTCTCTGCAAATAACGAACCAAATTGAGATAATCTAATTATAACATCGATAAGCTTGCAGAGAAAATGATATTCTGGGAGGTATTTACCGTTAAATATTAACGAATTCCCCTTCCTTAACGCTAAGGCAAGCCGTGTAAGTTGATTGTCACTATGATGATGTTTCGGCTGCTCTCATATCATAGACCTAAAAAACTAGAAAACCAAACTGACAGACGACTTGGGTGACAAAATATCAGTGAAGAAAATCAGTATACTATTGGTTGTAAAGTGCATTACTAAACCCACAAGTTGGTTCTCTACTTGAACAACGTAACACTTATGCATGCGGGGTGAATTAAAATTTCGAAGCCGGGACGATTCAGGTCTTATTTTAGATAGTGCTTGCTTTAAATATGTTTTTTCGTGTTTGTATCAATTTTTCAATCGAAGCCGCAAGCTAAATCTCGACATTTTTAGAATGGCTCTATGTGGGTGAGCCTTTTATCAGATTCGCGGGTTTCACCTAGCAAGCGGCTGCTATAATCCATTATAGAAAGATTATTTTTTCTGTACCACATGAATTATTTATTAATGATTTAGTTGTTTCGTGCAGCTATTTTTTTAAATAATGCGTTGGTTTACTTTAMTAATGTACAGCTGTGAAGACTGATGTTTTTTACTTAAGCAAATTGCGCGCATTTAAGTCACTTAGTGCTAACGATGAGTTACATATAAAGTAAACTCTCTTTCTTCTTTCTAATCTTGCATTTATATTTAAGAAATTATGGCGCGGGTAGTATAGCTAAATTTAAAGTCTAGAGAGTGACAGCATTTACACTACATATATACTTTACGCTTAGTCACTTTGTGTTGCTTTGCCATGCACGTATTTGCTAGCTATAAAAAAGGTTGATGATCGTGACAAACAAAGCTTTTATAAGGATCGCAGATAGATACTGAGCGATATGTTTATAGAGTTGCTTTCCATGACATCTTGCTTGCGGTTAATTAGCTCCCCTACATATGCACCTGTTCAACCCATGCTTTAAAGTGCGTTATTTTTCTTTCTCTTCCCCTAGGAAAAATTTAGAGGCCTACCTGATGATAAACTAGGACGCATTTTATAGCTCTGGGGCATAACTAAGGTAAGGTCTTTAGTACTGATTGATCCTGATAGTGACAAATAACGATCGATAAGGAACCTTACGACGTAATCTAGATTTGAAATTCCCTCGCGGGCGTGTTCTTTTGATCTCTATGTGTCTTGATATAGACAGTCTTCTATTATAAAGCGATAGATGACTTGGATTAAAGTCTCTTAAGTTCATGGCTATCATTGCTTCGTTATCTCAAGAATTACGTACTCGGACACTGAAAACACRATGCTTCTTAGTTGTATGAGAATCGATGGTTTGCTGTATTTTCTTTTGCTCGTTCAATCATTATTAACTGGTAGTTACATTATTTGAATGTATTTTTAGTTGCCTGTACGGTATCTATGTCAACACGGTCAATCTTAGTATACCAAGTAGAGAAATGGAAATATAMTTCACCATAACGCGGAATTGGAGACGCCTCGTACTTCAATAAAATCGCGAACTAATAAAATGATATTGACGGGAAATTTCAATTGACGCAGAATTGTGCAAAGTCATACAGAATCGCTTGGGCTAAGTTTAAGTGTTAATCAATTTATTTTTAACTCTTCAATAGGTTCTTGAATTTAATGTCGTCTATATTCCATAACTGAGGATAACATGATGTCAGATCGCGTGTGGTCGCTAACATCTTCAGCAGTGTTCTCGACCGTTTTCTCTATCCTTCTACTGACTGGCATTGTTGGCAATATACTTGTTGTCATAGTAACAACTAGACGCAATACACGTCTGTTACCTGGGGGCGTGTTCATACGAAGTTTGGCGATTTCAGACGCAGGTGGATCGGCTAACATCATCTTTATGCTAATCACCATCATCTGTAGAGGGGGCTGGGTGTTTGGTCACGTGGGATGTCAACTAAGTGGCACGTTTATTGTCCTTTTTGGCTCGTCATCTTTACATCTGTTGTGTATCATCAGTATTAACCGGTATCTAAAAATTGCCAAGACCAGTTTGTACAGACGTGTATTTAATAAAACTGGAACGATAATATTACTAATAATCCCGTGGGTACTCCCCCTGGTGATGTCAGTTGTGCCCGTGTTTGGTTGGTCAGCACACGAATACCAGTTTAGCAAATGTATTTGTCATTTCTACTTCAGTACGAGTCTTTCTTACACGATAACCTTTCTCATCGCTGTTGTAGCCACTCCTCTAAGCATCAGTGCCATTTACTATGTCAATATGTATTTCCTTATCAGAAGTCACACAAGCTCCATGAAAAACTTACAGCGAAAAAGTCCTGCTGCTAACATCGAGGAAATTCGAAGTGCGCGAACAATCTTTGTCTTAATTGTTGCATTTATATTGTGTTATACTCCGGCTAGTATAATCAATATATTACAAATGGCAGGCTATGACGTGCCACCATACCTAGACCTTATTTCCAGCATGACTTTAATCGTATCAAAACATGCCCAGAATCCCTTGTTGTATGGTATACTTAACAGACGCTATCGGAAAGAGCTAATCAAGATTGCGAGATTAGTTGTTCGTTCCTGTTGTTGTAGAAAATGGTGTCCAGCTGTTGAGAACGAGGAGGAAAGCCAGTCCAAACGAAGAAGTAACACTGCTGGAAATAGCGTTAAAAGACAGAGACCTTCCTCAGTAAACTCCCTTCATGGGTGCCCGAGGATCGTTAGACGTGATAATTCACCTCGTTTAGCACTAGCAATCAATCCGCGCCACAGCTGTGGAACACATCCACGATTAGTAGTAGAGTTTAGAGCTTCTTGATGGATCATAAAGAAATTAAGTCGCCCCATGCAAGGGAATCCGAACCTATGGTGAATTCCGGATCCCAAGCGCTGGATTCCGGATTCCGAGACTCTGGATTTCTATTCCAAGGGTTTGTATTCCGGATTCCAAAACTTTTGGTGCGGATTCTGGATTCAAAAGGGTGGATTCCGGATTACATCATAAACTGGATTCCGGATTCCAGGGCCTGGATTCCGGATTTCAGAGTACTGGATTCCGGATTCCAAAGCCTAAACTTTCGTGGATTCCGGATTCCCTTAAGTTTTGAATATTTCCGCACACTCAACCTCATTAGGTGATCGAAACTAAAGGACAGAAAGTAGATAACTCCTAATATAAGAGTTTCTTACCTGCGAATTTTGCTGGTGGGATTTTATTTTTAGTGGAAAAATAGCGATAAACGCAGCCATCCCATTTACATTCATTTTTTTATATTAGCAATCTCTTAAAATAGGAAGATCCATGCGGAGTTTGGGTTTCCTGTGGTACTAGACTATCCTTCCCAGTCTCCCTGCAATTTTAACACCACAGGAAGACCGGTTTGTTTATGGGCTTGAACAGACTTGCCCAAAATTTCACTTCATGTATTTTGCTTATACAAGGATTTTTTCTTGCCGAATAATAACTTTAACACGCAGAATTACGAGAGTTCGTCTCGGCATTAGAACTGTATTCAACATGACGGACGAATCGAAACCGTTTGTTGTGGAATACGCGTCTCAAGGAAGAGCTAAGTGTAAAACTTGTAAACAGCAGATTGAAAAGAAGTCTGCGAGAATAGGAAAACTGGTTACAAATCCATTCAGTGAGGATGGAGGGTTGATGAAACAGTGGTACCATGTAAAATGTATATTTGAGGCTCTGAGTAGGGCTAGATCAACGACAAAGAAGATCGAAAGTACGAGTGAGTTGGATGGGTTTGAAGACATGAATGATGACGACAGGAATATGATTGAAGGATTTATTAAAGGTATTAAAGCTTATGTAAAGTTAACTATTTTTTTCTTTAAACGTCGTTGGAAAACTTTTTGAAAGGCATAGAAAGCATACGTTTTGCTTATCCTGATATAACTCTTGAAACAGAATTAGAGGTTTAGTTGAGAGGGAGAGATAGAGGTGAACAGTGGAGGTGAAGGGGAAGAATGTGACCAAATTCGGCTATATTAATGGTATAATTTGGGGGGAGGGGAGATTGTCAAATATTGGGCTATTGGGTTATGTTGTTGTGATAATGCTGCTCTAATGTGTTTAGATGGTAAGAGCAAGGTCTCTTCTGCCACAAAAAGTCCTGCTAAGAGAGTTCAAGCAACTCTTAACTTCAGTCCTACGAAGGGATCAACAGCAATACGGACACTTACTACTGATGCTGCTGGTAGATCAAGATCTGATGGTAGGGAATTAAAAATTAAGGATTCAATTTATTTTCGCTTTCGGCTTGTGATTCTAATAAAATACTGTAATTAAGATTGCAAAATAGACTCAAAAATTTCATGTTGTACAATGTAGATGAATCATCCACAGGCAAGCATGGTCTAAGTAAGGATGACACATTTCGTGAGTTCAGACGTCTTTGTACCATGCTGGCAGGAGAGCCAAGCTATAATGCCAAAACAAAGATCATTGCTGATTTCTTAAGCGCAGGAGCATCTGGAGGTAATCATCTGCAAGGAGTGGTTGTACAAAGGGTGGATAGTGCTAAGTTGATGCTGTTATCCAATAAATTTATCCAGATTTATCCATCGGATAGTGCTATCCACCCTACGTACGACTGGGCCCTGCAGCAAAAATGTTTCTAAAATTTTGTATTCATATTATTTTGTAGTAATAATCAAGATTTTAACATTTTTGTGTCATTCAATAAGCATTATACATCTGCATAATTTTAGATGGTTACACTGGAGATCTGTTTCTGTTAGCCAAGCTGTTGTTACCAGGAGTTAACAAGAGAGTCTATAATTTACAAAGCAAGCAGCTTATTAAGCTTTTTAGCCAGGTTTGTATTTCATTTAAAATGATTTGAATAGCTTTAATTATTCATTAAAATTATGCAAATCCTTATATAGGTTGATAAAAATGTCCAAAACCTAGATGAGGTAAGAAAAGGGTAATTAGGAGGATTCATCCTTTAGAGGAGTGGGCACTGGCCTATTAGCTAACATCTGATCAAAACATCAGAGTATTTGAACAAGTTCAATGTCATACTGTAGACCTATGTTTTCTTTATATGGGGAAAATCCTTGAAAAATTGTTTTTGCTAATCAATCTTCTTTGCACTGAATTTCAGATTCTTGGGAGTGATCAAGATGAAATGTTAACTGACTTAGAGAAGGTAATTTGAATTTCTTGAAATAATTTATTCAAGTTGAATAATTAGGATAATGAGTGAATGATTTTATAGCAAAAATATTGGTAATGTGTCGTTAATTATTGTTTCAGGGGGATGTAGCTGAGACAATAAGTGATTTCTTTGAGCAGAGCCTTGCTTGTAAACCTGTAAATAAAAGTACCCTTAGTAATCAAGAGGTATATTATTATATAGTATCAATTTTATACTGTCTTATCATATATAGTCTCCTACACAGCTGCTAATAGTGTTGTGAGTGTTGCGTGACGACACCAATAGTGGCTGCATAACCCGTAGGAGACTAGTCTTATCATTGATGTTCAGAAATCATATATTTTCTAAAAGTTTTTTTAAAAATTAATTCAAGGTTGATGAATTCCTGGATAATCTCACAACTTTTAGCAAAGAAGATGACCAGATGAGAGAGTTAAGAAAGATAACCAGAAAGTGTACAGTGAATGACCTGAAGTACATAATCCGGCTGATCAAGCATGACCTTAGAATGAACACTGGTGCCAAACATGTGTGAGTTAATAATAATAATAATAATAATA